CGTTTGGCATATTTAGTTAATTTAGTTGACCCAGTTGTGAAAAAACTCGCGGCATTCGGCGGGGTTCAAACCCGCATAGGAGATTGGCCTTTTAGCCAAGCCAACGCCCTACTAAATTAACTAAATCTGCCAAACCATCTTTGACATTTACCTTATATTTTATCTTATCTTATCTCTTAATCTCCGTGAATGGAGCCATTTTTTATGAACATTTTGGGTAACACCTTCAAAATAAAGCATTCTTCTCTCACGCTTAATTAGTTGAATTTATTGCCCATTGACCAAGAATTCAGGATTGCCCCTCAGTTCACAGAGGGCCAGGATTGAGTTCGGGTTGACTGTAATGGATAAGTAGATGAAATCGATTATTCCTGCTTCATCGTTATGATAGAACTTCTTCAATATCGGTTTCTTACTGTTGATTGACCGACTTCGTTGGTAAAGATGAAATTGTTGAAATGGAACGCCCGATCAAGTGACCTTTTCCGAGGCAAATTATTGTAGGATCTTGTTTAATGTTTGTTTCACAGATTTATGTCACTGCGCTCGGGACGACTAATAACGGTGTAACCGTAGAAATATTCCTTAAAAAATTACAATGACGTCGTAACCACAGCACTGAGAGATGGGTGTGTCATTCGACATCTCTTCAACCTCCAATAAAATACTAAGAAGTTTCGCAAGCATAAAAATGAACGGCCCAGTGTGCGAACTTCATCGAAAAACGGCAACTAAAGACCTCCTAGCTGCCTAGAAATATGCTCCAGGAGCTCTAACTTGGCCATTCAGGTTAGGAAAATAGTTTTGGACTACTAAGAGATGCGTAGTGAAAAGGAGAAAGTCTGCTAGAATTTAAGCTTCTTCTTATGTCTATTTAAAACGTTGTTGAGAGGTCTTTCTTTATACCTCCTTCCTTTTCTCCTAGGAAAGATAAATAATTGAAGCCGAGGACGCTTCTACTGGGTGTGTTTTTTTCTGACCCAACAACTAAAAATAATAACACCGTGCATCAGCGTGTTGCTGACAGTATTGGCACATCAGTACTTTCCCCGGATCGCAATCCCTCACAAACACTAACTCATATATTTTTGGCTCCAGTATAGCCCACTTCTACCCAATACTACCAAAAAACAAAAGTCTGTTTTTTGCCGCTGCTGCGCCCATATATAAGAAGCGTGTCCACTGATGTTCTTATTTCGGGACAGATTAATGCAGGAAGGCTCGGAGGGAAACAGATGCCTACGTACTTCTGTTGGAGATGGCCACATGTTTCAGATGAGATGCAACCAGCAGTAAGGTACCGAGTCTTAATAACGGCGCCATAATACTAGCTGTATGGATTGCCGAAATGATCTGACATGAAAATATGACTGTCGGCTAATCTATATTTGTTCGATAGTAAGTCCCTATTCAGGGCAGGCCCGGTAAAACATGGTTTGAGTCTGCTACAAGACACAAACTTTCCTTCTGTTTCTATACCTTAAAGACATTTTCAGCACGTTTTCAATATTTAACCCACCTACGTATACTGCAACTCCTTCTGCGCGAATGACCCCCTATCTGATGTTGACTATGATGAAGGGTTTAAGCATGAATCCGAACCATCAGGCGAATAAAGTTTTTATGTAAACTGTCATCTCTACTTATTTTCAGCTGCTTTGTGGGACTCGCATTTTCACGTGAATTGTCAATCGGATTAGGCGAGACCCAACTCAGCTCATTTATCCCTAATATACACTTCACCATGCACGAAGAAGTAAACTAGTGGCATCCTTTGTTAGATGTCCTGGTCAGTCACCAACCAAGGCTCAGGGATATCAACTGGTCATAGGGAGTAGACAAACTCAATGCAGCTCTTAAATTATTGAGAACAGCCCCACTCAAAGTCGATGTGTGAACAGAGTTCAAAATATGCCAAATTTGCGCATCAATTTTGTGCTCTCCTTTTTTACTGGCCAGTCAATAGGCACTATCGCACTACCCGAATCTTCTGTCCAAAAGACTACTGCAAATGTAGAAAATTGCAGAATTAGCTGAATCTTGTCTCCAGATGCCCCAACACCTGCGATTGCATTCACTTAGAGTTCGGCGCACGCCATAGAAAGGTATTTTTTTTGCTAAATACTTACTGGGTATGTGCTAGATTTATAGATGTTGAAGGCGAATATACAGGGGGTCTTCGCCCTGATATCTGCATGAGCCTACCAATAAATAGTTCATATACGGTAATGCATACAGAAAATAACTTGAGGAACGCATCAGGAAGGATAACATAGTAGGTAAAGGAAAAGAAACTGACCGAAATCCATTTCGCAGTTTCTCCAATCGATACATCTTCGGGCAGTGCTCCGAGATACATCGGTAGTCACCATGCAGATTGAGACACTTGAATGCTGCCGTACCACGTGCATGCCGAGGTTCACAAATGTCTTCCTTCTCTTGACATTCATCGATGTCTACGAATGCGGCAAAATAAGTGCTCTTATAACAGCCGTCTAGCCATACATTTAGACTTCTCACCTCATTCGATATTCTGAGCCCAGAGGCAAAGATTTTTTATGGAAATCGTTGATATTATCAAGTCGGCCGTCGGCCTGTATGACCAACGCACGTCCAAGAACAGTTAGCACACAGAATGCGATAAATGCCATTAGTCTGCTGTTCTTTGGGTATGGGATCTTTCACTCGGGACGGCTTGGGACACGCATCCACGAACACCAGTTAGCCATCCGCTGACGTGACCCTCTGTCACTCGTGTTCGCGTACGTCCTTGAGTTTAAGCACCGCTTCAATTGGG